GACTTGCAAACATTAAGAAGAGCTTTCTAATCATGTGAGAAGCCCACGGATGGAACAAACCACCTCCCCCTGCGTGTCCCTGAGCTCTCATCTCCAGAGGCAAAAACAGAGAGACTCATCATTTGCCAGGAATGTGGAGCAGGGACAAGGGTAGAGTTAGATAACCTCAGAGATCCCTTGTGTACATAATTTATTCATTCGTCCAACAAATGTGTGCCAAGCATAGACTCTGTGCTAAGCACTGTGCTCTGTGCTGGGGAAATCATGGTGAACTACACAGCCTGATGCCCATGCTCAGGACACTGAACACATAATGCCATGAATAATCAGTTGTATTTACAAGTTCCAAGAAGAAAAGGTATATGGCTCTCTGGTGGTGCTACAGATGAACTGAGGGACCCGACAGTCTAGGCCGGGTTGGGAGAAGCCACCCCTGAAGGAGAAACGTTTAAGCTCACACATGAGGGATAAACAGAAGGAAGCTAAAGAAAGTGGGAGGGGCAGCACCAGGAGGACTGAAATGAACAGCAGATCTCAGTAGGATTTACTGTGGACTGTTCCAACCTTCTGCAAGTCAAAGGAGCCAAGAAGACCAGAAATGTGGGGAAATAGCCTGTAGCAGGAAACCCACTCCTACTCAGAAGTTCTAGATACAGTCCCCCAAAACAGCCAGCCCCGACCACCACTGCTAGATCATTACTTCAAATCCACATCCAGTTTCCTCTTTGATCCCTGGACAATGCCTATTGATAGGACTCTTTCCCTTCCTTTCTTTCTCTGGTCAAATGAAAAAAAGACGTAAGAGTTATCACTGGCTGCAACTTCAATATGGGTCAATATTACCATATGGCTGTCACAAAAGACTAGCTGCTTTGATCACAGGCTGCAGTCATTGAAGATTCCTGTACGGAACACGAGAGATGATAGTCCCGCAGGTACTATGAACGCGCCAGAACACAGCAGGATTAATGGGCTTTATTTCAGAGCTGTGAGAAGGTTATTGACAAGTGCAGATTCCTGTACGGAACACGAGAGATGATAGTCCCGCAGGTACTATGAACGTGCCAGAACACAGCAGGATTAATGGGCTTTATTTCAGAGCTGTGAGAAGGTTATTGACAAGTGTGAGCAAAGGTGAGCAGAAGAGAGTTACTGGGACGTGAGAGTTCAGGAAGCTGCTGCACTATGATGCTGCTAATCACTGGCTGGTCCCCCTGTGCTACTACTGAGTCTCATTAAACTTTGTGGAATAAGTTAGGCCCTGATGATGCTCCCCTTGGAGTACCAGAGAAAGCCTCCTGCAGTTGCCCTTGTGAGAAGCAGCTCCACTACAGGTACATAATGGCAGCTGGGGACAACTGTGCTCATGCCCTCTTGCTGGGGGCTTCTATGTTGATGTCAGTTGCCCCTTGCATCCCAGCATAGGCACAGGTCTTCCTTCTGCTCTGCTGCTCTCACCTTTCATGGCACCTCCCATTCTGCTGCTCTGGGGAAGGACCACACAGGTCATATGAGCCACGTGTTAAGTCAGATCATTCCATACAAGGCTTCCAAATTTCATGAAAAATCCATCAATCCACTTTGGGGACTTGCAATAAAAGGCAGATAGAATATTGGTTTAATTCTCATAGATACTTGAGATTCGGTATGAAAATAGAATTATCAGTGAACCTGGAGCAGGCAGGTTCTTTCAGACTTTTCAAACTTTGCTACATCCCTCACTGACTTCTAGAATCATCTTCAGGTGGTTTGACTTCAGCCAGCCCCATGTTTTCTCTTCCTTCCTTCCTGGCTAATTATGTTAGGATGCCTCTGATCAATCAGAGTGTCTCCAGACCTAAGGCTCATTTATAGCCCTGTAAACAAGGCAGCTAGAAAGAAATATAAATTTAGTATTATTGAGGTTTGGAGTAAAGTGCCGAGATAAATAATTATGGGTCAAGATGAGTTTTTAAGATGCCAAGGGCTCTCAAGGTCAAAATCTAACATCCCAGGACAACAGGCAGTCACTTCAGCAAGTGGACTCTCCTAATAAGGGTCCCCTTACCCACACACCCCCAAATTGGTACAGACATGGGTGTCTGTGGCAGCAGGCTCTGGAAGAAATCAGATGGCACATCTCAAAGAGTTCAACTGAGGAGGGTTTCAGGAGGGGACCATTCAGAGAGGTGTGGGCAGAGTTAAGGGGACCCACAAGACAGAGTGAGGCCTAAGGACTGTGACAGCAGGACATTGTTACCACCCTAAGTCTAAAGAGACAAGGGAAGGGAACAATGCTATCAGAGCTGGAGCTGCAGAAGAGCAGCCACCAGACAGTAGTCGTGCCCTACCCACAGCCAGGCAGGGAGGTTGCCTGGGAAATGAGTACACCAGCCGCACTCTGCACGCACCATCCAGTCAGTGCAGCCTCCTGCCAGACAAACCCAAATGAGAGCAGGAGAGGTCGTGAGGCAGCCTGGAAGGTTCAGGGCACAGATCCAGCCACAGAAGGGTAGACAGTGGGTCTAGGGACAATGGAGACTAAACAGCACGGTGCCCAAACAGCAGTGGGATGGGACAGGGATAGAAGAGTGAAAGGGCCTGGGGAAGCTTACGAAGTATTTATGAATGCTGCTCTCTCTAAAGTAGTCTTGGTGCTAGGACTTTACCTGGCCCCTGTAGCATTGGGAGAACGTTATGAGGACAATGTGGTCTTCTCGAATTCTCTATCTAATGGCCTCTGTCTTAACTGACCTCACTCTAGGACCTTGCAAGTCTCAGTAGTTACAGAAGGGGCAGATCTTGGTTGACATAGCAGGAACCAGGTCACAGAGGGAACAGCTGGAGGACGTGGACATGGAAGGGACATGGGCTATGACATGCAAGGGGAAGCTGTCTCAATCTGCGCAGCTCTAGAGGGCTGAACTCAGGCGAAGTAAAGTAGAAGTTAGAGGCTCATTTCAGTTCCATGTAAGGAGCAGCATTCTGAGTCTAGCCTTCTGACAATGTAAGACAGTAAACTCCCCATCCGGGAGAGGCCACTGCAGAGGGCGGGCTCTCAGGCCAGACTACCTGAGTTCAAGTTCTGGTTTTGCTACTTATTAGATGTGTGACCTTGGGCAAGTTAATTTATTTTTCTGTGCCTATGTTTCCTTATTCAAAACAAGGATAATATTAGTACCTATTACTAGAGTTGTGAGTTGTGTGGATTAACTGAGTTAATTCATATAACAAACTTGAGACAGGGCCTGGCTCATAATAAATGTTCACCAAATGTTAGCTAGTGTTTTACTATGATGATTTGTTTTTTTTGGTTTTTTTTTTTTTTTTTTACTTTTTTTGTTTTTTGTTTTTTGTCTTTACTGTCATCATCTTCTTCAAGGATGCTGTGAGTTGGGATATCCTAACTGGTGAGGTTGAAGGCAGTCAGCACCCAGGCTGCACAGTTGAGACTGGATTCAAACCTACTAGCTAAGTGGTGCAAGTTGGAGAACCCTTCAATCCTCAGTTTCCTCATCTGAAAAATAGGAATAATATTGACACTTACTTCACAGAGGCGTTATGACATTTCCTGTAAAGCATGGGCCCTCACAAACAGTACGTGCTCAGTAAATGTGAGCCCTGTTGGAATGGATGGCCTCTGAGACCATTCTTATTCTAACACTCTATGATTCTTCTATTTGATACTAATATTTTGTTTTTAGTGGAAACTGGAGAAGCTCGTTCCTCCTGTACCTTGTTTTTGCTTCCTCTCTCCATTCTTTTTTCCCCTCTTATCTTTCTGCTTCTTTCCTGTCCATTTCCCTCTTTCCCAGGCTAAAGTGGATAATGAGATCCTTAATTACAAAGACCTGGCAGCTCTCCCCAAGGTTAAGTCCATCTACGAGGTGCAGCGCCCCGACCTCATTTCCTACGAGCCTCATTCCAGATACACGTCCGATGAAATGCTGGAGAGATGTGGCTATGGAGAGGTATCACGACTTGCCCTTCTCCCTGGGCTGCTGTAGGAGAGGAGGTCCCACTGGAGTCCCTAGCCCGCTCCATCACAGGCAGTTTAGCCTCCACAGGGCTGGCTCCCAGACTCTTTTAAACTGGAATTTATAACCAACATTTAAAAATCAAGGGATTTCATCCAAAAATCTGGCTTTCTGGCTTTTCTTGAAAAGTCAGAGCTGGCAACATTATACCTGTATTTCCACCATCTGGAGATGGATAGCAGCGCCCCCTGTAGACAGGACAGGGGCTCCCCAGTCCTCACAACTCCCCATTAAATCCTAACACTGAAGCCTGGAGTCTGTGACCACTTATCCCTTGAGTTGTTTTCTCACAGTGGAGAATTTTTCTTATACTAAGCCCCTGGCTCTTATCCCCTGCCAGGCTCAATGGCCATTTAGGTTTATAATCCCTGATTAAGCATGTTCTCTGTTTTCTCCACCTGGCCTTAAGCCCCTGTGCTCAGAGGAAGAGACACTTGAGTTGTTTTCTCACAGTGGAGAATTTTTCTTATACTCAGCCCCTGGCTCTTATCCCCTGCCAGGCTCAATGGCCATTTAGGTTTATAATCCCTGAGTAAGCATGTTCTCTGTTTTCTCCACCTGGCCTTAAGCCCCTGTGCTCAGAGGAAGAGACACTTTTATAAAGATTCAGCATCAGATGGCTTTTGAAATCATTAAATGGTTTCTAGGCAAGAGAAAAAGTGTTCTCTAGAGAGGGCAGGGTGGCCATGACACTGGAGGTCCGGGCAGTCTATATCCCTGGAGATTTCAAACCCCAGCTCAGGCCTTCTGAGCTGAGATCATTTGGAGCAGAAGGAGCCCCAGCCTGGTGGGCAGAGTGTTAGGCTCTTGTCCCAGCTCCACCATAACTAGCCTTGTGACCTCGGGCAAGGCCCCTTCCTCTCTAAAGGGGCTGTAGTTCTGCTTGCCTGAAAAGCCCAATGCTGAGATTCCCTGGATCTGGCCAGGAAAAAGGGATCAAGTGTTTGGTAGAAACTGATTCTCCTGACGTTAGAGATAGCAAACTAGGGCCCCAGGCCACACCTCAGATTTGTTTTGTTTCACTCACAAAGTGTCTTTTCAGAGTGTAAATTAGTTGTCAACATGTAAACATTGGGAGAGTTCACATAAGAAGCTGCATTTCTGACTTGTCTGTGAAGATTAAGATGCTGGGTTAACATGGGGCAGGCATCAGCATGGCCTTGACATGCTGGAGCTGGGTGGCAGCGACCCTCTTCACTAGGGACATCCCACCTCCAGGTGGATGCACCACCCACCAGCTCAGCTCCCTCATTGACGGCAGCAGCCTGGGGCTCCCTTGGCTCTATAGTTGGGTCCCCTGCCCTGGGCATTGTCCTTGTGAACCACAGAGGGGTCGTGAACCAGCAGAGAGACAGGGCGGGGAAAATAGCTCTGAGCTTGCAGTGGAGAAGCCGGGGGCCAAGTGGAGACCTTGGTACTTCCTCCCTGAGCGGCCCTGAGCCTTCACATTCCCTCCCTGAGCCTTGGTTTTTCCATTTGTAAAGAGAGGGCAGGCTAACCTCGAGGTTTCCTACCTCCCATCAGCAATGTTGACATTCTGGAATCCTAAGGAAGGCTGTTATCTGGAGAGGGATGCCAAGGGGTGGCTGCAGCCCCTCTCTCTGCCGAACCATCTAACCATACTCTGCCCCTTCCTCTCTCCCTCCTTTTTCTCCTGCTCCTTCCATGACTGCCTTCAAACTTTGCTTCTAAGTCGCTGGGAACGTTATCTCCCTACTCGCAGGTAATTAAGCTGATAAAGAATTAAGTTGATATGTAAAAGGTCGGGGAGACCTTTTATATAATTGTGTCCCTTTGTGCTGACTTCACCCCTCCTCAGCTCCCCCAGGGGGGCCCCAAGCCCTTGCCCATGGTGCTCTTTCCACCCAGGGCAGAGATGGAGAAACTCAGGAGCATGCCCTGGAGTGAGTGGCGGGGGCATAAGGGATGATACGGTTGGGAGAACTCGACTACCCCTCCTCAGCTCCCCCAGGGGGGCCCCAAGCCCTTGCCCATGGTGCTCTTTCCACCCAGGGCAGAGATGGAGAAACTTAGGAGCATGCCCTGGAGTGAGTGGCGGGGGCATAAGGGATGATACGGTTGGGAGAACTCGACGTGCCCTTCCTACCCAGAGACAGCCTTCCTCATGTTTCTGCGGTCCCTGGTCAGATTGCAGGGACTAACCCGTGGGTTCCATTCAAGGGCCTGCAAGTGATGGGTGAGGCCGTGAAAATGCTCTATTGCCCTCTTCAGGGTATAGGTGTAACTCAGGGAAGGGGTCTCTGTATTCGTGCCTCTAAATCCCAGTCATGTCATACCCCACTTGCCTGCTGGACCTTTGGCCACAGGCCCACCTAATTCCAGCCTTGCTCACAGCCCCACTTCCTCCCCAGGACATCTACGAGAACCTGGACCTCCGGCAGAGACGGGCCTCCAGCCCGGGATACATCGACTCCCCCACCTACAGTCGACAGAGCATGTCCCCCACCTTCCCCCGCTCTCCTCACCACTACTACCGCTCTGGTAAGGAAGGGGACACCCCAGAGGGAGAGGAAGTGCCAGGGGGAGACGCAGTACAGCACGAGGCTCCCCTGTGGTCTCTGTCAAAGCAGGGTCCTCCTGTCAAAGCAAGGCCCTCTGGAGGCCTGTGGCCACCCAGTGACCAGCTAGGCCTCACTGAGTCCCTGAGATGTCCCTGGCCGGGGAGTGGTGGGGTTTGTGGCACTAAGAAGCAGCAGGAAGGAGAGGGGAATGTCCTGTGGCCCTGGCTGGAAGAAGACTCCTTCATCCTCATGCTCGGGCCTGCCCCACCCAGAGGGTAGACCCAGGAGATCGAAACAGGGCTGTGGACTGGCCTTCACCCGAGGCCCAGCCCTACCCAACCAGTCACACCGTCCACTGTCCCCTGAGGTTGGGAGTGCAGCAGGCGCTTGGATGGAGGAAAGGAGAAAGTAAGGGAGGGGACCGGGAGGGGCAGGGAGCTGGGAGGCACGAAGTCACCCTCCTGAAGCTCCATCAAGTGGATTCTGACAACCCACACAATCAGAGTGTGGGGTCAGGCAAGGAAACAAGGTCGAGCCTGTCTCTGCAGATGCGCTGCATGAGAGCACATGCTTCCTCCAACGCTGGAGCCCGAGCACGCTGGGGCACCCAGCCCCATCCCCCACCCCTGCTGTCATCACCTCGCTGCTTCCTCAACTGCCACCGCGTTGTTAATGCCTGTTTTCTCTGTGCCTCTGTTCTCTTGGGACCACTGCCTGCGTGCCTGCTCCAGGGCCCGAGAGTGGCCGGAGCTCTCCATACCATAGCCAGTTAGATGTGAGGTCCTCCACTCCAACCTCTTACCAGGCTCCCAAGCACTTTCACATCCCAGGTAGGCGCTGCTAGCCCGGAATTCCCAGCATGGGTGCATGCTCCAGGGGGTCACTGGGCGCCCAAGTCACCCACTTAATGCTGCACAGGCACTGAGGAGAAGCAGGTTTCTGGGGGACCCTCCCTAACCAGTCGCCTACACTAACTCACCCTCCAGCCCCAATATGCCCTCGGCTTTAGTCAACCCACTTCATAGAACCAGCCTTGATCAGAACCACAAGCAAGCAGCCCAGAGAAGAACAGCCTAGAGGAGAAAAGACGCAGGGAGCTAGTGTGAAATGCCTCGAATGTCTGAGGGCTGTGATGGGCGCAGCACTAACACATAGTGGTGAAGGCCACAGGCTTTTGCATCAAAGCTCTTGGGGCTGAATCCCAATTCTGCTGCTATAAGCTCATGACCTTGGGCTGGTGACTTGGCTTCCCTGAGCCTTTATTGTTCAATCTGCACAACCAGGCACTGTCTGAGCCCTGAGCTTGCAGCTGTGCTCAACCCAGCCCAGATCCAGTCTTCATGGTGTTTATGTTCTAATGTGGGGAGAAAGATAATAAATGAATAAATAAATACGAAAAAGATACTTTCAGGTAATGAAAGATTCTATAAGCATTAAAAGAAACAGTGCACTGTGAGAGAGTGACTGGGGTGGGGAAGGCTGGGTGAGGTGGGGTGGTCAGGAAGGGCTTCTTGGAGGAGGTGACATTAAAGCTGAAAGATAAGAAGGAGCCAGGCATGTGAAGATCTCATGGGAAAACATCCTAGGCAAGTATAAAGTCAGTGTGCTGGAGGTAGTGACAGAAGATGAGAGGAAGGCAGGGGCTTGATGACATTACAGATGTGGTTTGGACAAGGTCCCACCCTGAGTTACAGCAGAGCCGGGCCTGGACCCCAGTCTCCTAACTCTGAGCTCAGCTCTTCACTCAACACTCACTCTCCCCCCAAGAGCTTGTCCTGCTGTTTCACATACACTGTTTTCAACTGTCCCAGAGGGGTCCCGTCCTGTCTGTCTTTGAGGGAAGGGTGGGAAGATCGTGCTGACACTTGGCTGCAGCATCCTGGGGACTTTCACTTGGAATGAGGCGTGACCACTGGATGGAGGCCGTGGACACCTTCCTGCATGGAGTTCTGCTGAGCGTGCACCCACCTGTGCCTGCATGCCCACCATTCAAAACCCAAGCCCCTTCCTCAGCACCATTGAATCCATCCATTCCTCTCCCCCCTCCACACTTGGAACCTGTTGGGATGAGAGGTTGGAGGTTCAACTTTGGAACAGGAAGTCTGCCAGGGGAAAGATGGTGGTCCCTTGGAAAAAGTTGCTGACCATCTCTCTCTTCTGAGATCAACTGACCAAGTCCTGTCTCCCTTTCTCCTCTCTCTCACTCTTTCTCTCTCTCTCTCTTTCTCTCCCTCTCTCTCTGTCCTGGTACCTTCCTGGTCTGTCTGGCAGCTGGAGAAAGTAACATCTACCGGAAACCCCCGATCTACAAACGGCATGGTATGATCAGAGGCAGATAGGGCTTGGCCAGACAAGAGTGGGGGCGGGGGGAAGTTAACCATCTATGCAGATGCTCTGCACAGGCCACCAAGAGCAACATAACACAAGGTCACAACTCGACTCTTCTTGTTGGTTGCCCCCCATCACTCAGGGTGACATTGGGGAGGAGTTTGGTGTCATTTCAAAAGAGCAAGGAAGGCCTCATGTCCCCTAAATCCTTTCCCACCGCTTCCCCAATCCCTCCTTACCTGCTGTCTGGTGTCCTAAATTCCATGATCAGAGAAATCCTTGTACAATGCACATTCCCCTGGGAGAGTCACACTCCAAGGCACTGATACTCAGAAATGTTTATTAGAATCAGAGGGGATGCATGCAGATTCCTGGGCCTTACCCCAGACTTACTGAATTGGAATTTTGTATTTATAACAGTTTCTCCAGGTGATTCTGATGCCTGGCCTGGCTTGGGAAGCCCTGCTCTAAGCCAATCTCAGTCACAGTCTCCTGAGAGTGACTGGAGACTTGCAGAAGGGATGTAAATGAGAAAGGATCAGGAAATCACTTTATTCCTTCATTCATTCAGTGTTTCTTAGAGAATGGTCTATGGACCATCTGCATCTGAAAGAGAGACTTATTAAAAACATAGATTCCCGAACTCCTTCCAAGCCCCAGACTCCCTTAATTAGAAATACTAGTGTGTGGCCCAAGGATCTGCACTATAACTGGCTTTGTCCATGATTCTTACCTGCACTCAGTGTGAGAACTACCAAGTCATTCACCACTGAGACCTCCTGTTCATTGTTGCAAAAAGCACTTACTGAGCCTCAGTAAGATAAGCACATCCTTCCTTTGAGGATGCAGAGGAGCAGCTGCCGCCCTGTGCACCCTCACTTGCTTATGGGTCTAGTTGGATACCAGAGGGGAGCACAAAATTGGATGAGGTTGGAGATGGGCGAAGCAGTCCTGCACCCAGATCTGAACTAACTAGAGCTGGTGAAAGGGACAGTACAAGTATAAATAGTGACCCTGCTATTCAGACAAACATCCTCAGTTTCGGAGGGGGCTGAGCAGGGGGTCCAAGGTGAGTCTGTGAGCACATGCTAATGTACATGTGGCTGTGTAGGACATACCATGTGCCCCTGAGTGGCCATAGAAAGGTGCCAACCCCGACAAGGGTAGTTTGACTTTATATCCAGAAAAGACTCCTGGGTCCCAAGCTTCTCAGGACTTCGTGAGATTTTGCAGGTGGGCTGTGAGGGGTAGCTCCAAAACAGACTTAGGATGAGTCTGGGGTGGAGGTGGATTGCATGTATAAGAGGGCAGATGAAATGGCTATATGCGATTGGCCAGGAGGAGCTGCCAGGAGCTTGATCAAGAGGAGAATGTGAAAGATTTGGAAGCAAGAGCTGCTGGGGACTGGTGCAGAGCCTGGAGCTGGCTCAAGCCAGAACCCGCCACTGCTCTGGCTATGCAGAGCATAGAGCTTGTTCCTAAAGCTTCTCTATAGCTGTCCCTGAGAAATGATTGCAGAGCCACACTCGTTCCCCAGCCCCTCTCTTTCTACCCTGTCAGCCTGTCACCAATCTTTGAGCCACTCTCAAGTCACTGCCCTGGAGATATTTGTTCCTGCACTGGGTTTTTGTTCACCCTGTCATGGGCTTACTTCTGGTAGAAGCCTGGAGCTGGATGGCACCAGAGCCAGCAGACCAATTCTCACACTTACAAATGAGGGAACTGAGGCAGAGGGGGGCAGGATCTTCCCAGTATTGCAACTGAGTTAAGTGGCAGAGCTGGAGCCAGAACCCAGCTTTGCTGACCCCCTGTGCAGTGCTCCTTCCTTTGGGCCATGTAGTCTCCCCAAGCAGGATGTGAAGAGAAGGTTGACCAGCCTCAACATGCATCATGGCCCTGACTGGCAATCTCACCCTCGAGGAGGTCCAAATCCATAGCAAGGCAGGCTTGTAAAGGGTTAAGAAGGTAAGGCAGGCTCACCTGGGACCTGTCAAGTCTTACTTTGAGGAGCCACAGCTTTCGTGTTCACTCAGGAGCAGACCTAAGAGTCCATGTAATGTGCTAGAAGGAGCCCTGGGCTGGGGTCTGGTCCAATTCCAGTGCTTTCTTTGTAGTTTTGAGTAAGCCCCTTCCCCTCTCTGGCATTCATATTCCCAAATGTAAAATGAAGGGTTGGCCCCAGTGCTTTTCCGGTTCTAATGCTCCTTGTCCCAGACCCTCTTACCAGAGACTCCACCTTAAAGTGGCCTCACTCCCCTGGGCTGGAAGCTGGCAGAGATAAGGAAAGGGGTGCACAGTTCCGGCCAGGACACTCTGCCTTCCTGAAGCACTCTCCTTGGGTCCTTTGCAGGTGATTTGTCTACAGCAACCAAGAGCAAAACCAGTGAAGACATCAGTCAGGCCTCCAAGTACAGTCCAGTCTACTCGCCAGACCCCTACTATGCTGCAGAGTCTGAGTACTGGACCTACCATGGGTCCCCCAAAGGTAACATTTCCATGGGTCCCTGGGGCCAGAGCCCTATCATCTGTGCCAAGGACACAGGAGATCAGGACAGACAGTCACCCATTCCTTCACACACTCATTCCGAATAAGAATGCATATGGTGTATAACTGAGGACTTTTATTCATTCAACAAGCATGTATTAAGGGCCAGCCATGGGCCTAGAGATACACTGGAGAGCAAAACATACCAGGTCCCTGCCCTTGTGGAGGAGACCTAAGTCCCATCTGTGAGAGGGAGGTGATATACAAAGGGTAGGAGAGCTGATGGCAAGGGCATGCTGTCCAGCTAGAAGATGACAAAAGCTTCTCGGCTGCTATAGGAAGAGTGACAGGAGATCAAATCAGCAGAGAATGTAGAAACACACCTGCAAAGACCCAGGATGGGAATGGGAGTGTGGGTTCCACTGGAGGAAAGAGAAGCTGTCAGCCTAACCTTGAGCTTGGACAGGGAGGACAGAGAGTGGGGCATGAGGGAGGTGTCCGTGGGTTGGGGTAAGGATTTTGGTTATCATCCTAAATAGTGAGAAGCCACAGAAAGGAGTGACATGATCTCATTTGTGCCTTTGAGAGACCACTTTGGCTGTAGGGTGAAAAATGGCTTGGAGTATAGAAAAAGAGAGGATGTGGGGAAATGGAAGGCTCTCAGAAATACCCTGGCGGGGGTCTTGGTGGTCTGCAGGGCACCACCCCACCCATCAGGCAGCCCAAGCTGTTCCTTCCAAGTTAGGGAAAAATTTTTGTCGAGATCCACTTTGATTCAACACACGCCTTTACTAATTGAATGTCCATTCTGGGCAAAGCTTCGTGGAAGCTCAAAGATGACTCATTCATCACCTCCAAAGAATCCTCCATTTAGCAAAAGAGTTAAGACACAAATACAAGTATAACCCAAAGTGGGCAGTGATCAGTACCCACAGGAGACAGTCAGTGTTCAGAGTCTGCAAAGACAGGAGAGACCACTCCCAGTAGGCATGGGGTATCTTAGAGAAGATGATTTCAATTGCAAAAAAAAAAAAAGAAAGAAAGAAAAAAGAATAACCAACTCCAAGTGGCTTAAGCCAGGGCAGGCTGAGGGGGAGCACATACCGAGGCTGATCCTCTCTGTCTTTTGGCAGTGCCCCGAGCCAGAAGGTTCTCATCAGGAGGAGAGGAGGACGATTTTGACCGCAGCATGCACAAGGTAAGCAGGCCACACCACTGAATAAGATGCTTAGAGGGTATCACTGAGGATTTTTTCATTTGCAAGTAACAGAAACCAAATTCAAATTCACTTATGATAGGAAAAAGAAATGCATAGCTTTGCATAAGTGAAAAGTCAAACGATAGGATTAGCTTCAGGTATGACCAGATCTAGCTGCTCAAAAAAAAAAAAAAAAGGACCATAGGGAGATTGTCACTTTCTTCTGTTGTGGGGCTTGCATTGGTTTCAGGCTTGGAAGGTTGTTCTCATGTATTGGTAAGTGAGCTCCAGCAACACTCGTTCGTTGCTGGTGAGAATGTAAAATGGTGCATCTAATGTGGAAAGCATTTTGGCAGTTCCTCAAAAAGTTAAACACAGAATTACCATATGACCCAGCAATCCCACTCTTACGTATATACCCAAAAAACTGAAAATGGGGACTCAAACAAACACAGGTACACCCATGCTCATAGCAGCACTATTCACAAGGGCCAAAAGGGGGAAACAACCCAAAGTCCATCAAATGATGAATGGATAAACAAAATGAAGCACTGATACATGCCACAATGTGGATGAGCCTCAAAAACATCATGCTTAGTGAAAGAAGCCAAACACAAAAGCATGCATATTCTATGATTCCATTTATGTGAAATATCCAGAATAGGCAAATCCATAGAGACAGAACGCAGATTGGTGATTACCAGGGGTTGGGGGAGAAGGGAATGGGTAGTGACTGCTTAATGGGCACAGGGTCTCCTTTGAGTGTAATAAAGATGTTCTGAAACTAGATAGCGGTGGTGGTTGCACACCACTGTGAATATACTAAATGCCACTGAATGGTTTACTTTAAAATGGTTAATTTTAAATTATGTTATTTTTATCCCATCACTGGCCTGGCCAGCTTTTCTGTGCCCACCACCAGAGCCCCACCCAGACCACAGGACTCCTACAAGAGAGATGATGTCCCAAAGGAAAATATGGGTGTTACAAGGGAGGGGTGCTGGGAAGGCAAAAATGATGAGGTTTGCTAGAGAGGGTCCTCCGGCTCAGCCTTTCCCAAGCCTGTTCCATGCCAGAGTCCTTTGTTTCCTTCCAACTTCATCATGCTCCTCTGGCACCCGCAGCTCCAGAGTGGCATTGGACGGCTGATTCTGAAGGAGGAGATGAAGGCCCGGTCTAGCTCCTACGCGGATCCCTGGACCCCTCCCCGGAGCTCCACCAGCAGCCGGGAGGCCCTGCACACAGCTGGTTATGAGATGTCCCTCAATGGCTGTAAGCACTGCTCTGGAAGCCCGACAGGGTGGGGGCACTTTCCTCCATGACTGGCTGGCGTTGGTGGGTGTTCACTTTGAGCTGACACCCTGGGAGGCACGTCCATGCATCCTCTCTCTCCTTCCTCACAGCAGCCCTGTGCAGTGGGTGCCATTATCACCCCACATGTTTAGATGGGGGCTAAGGCACAGGAGGCTTTGGTAACTTGACCACAGTTGCTCAGTCTGTAAGTGATGGAGTTCACTTAATACAGTCCCCTGCTTGTTTTTACAAATAAAGTTTCTTTGGAACACATCCAGCCCCAAATTCAATCCCTTGGGCTAACAGAGGAATCAGAGAGGCTGGCCACGAAAGTTAATCCCAGAGCCTCCCACTCGCCTCCATCTCTGGTGCCCCCTTGGGGAGCCTCACCTGGGTCTAGAATACAGATTTAGCAAGGGACTGCATGGAGCACCAGATAAAACCATGCTGTGCCCTGAGCAGTCACTCCCACTTCTTTGGGCTACCTGAAGCCATGATTTCCTATCAGGGTCAGTTTAAAGAAAAATGTTTTCTCATAGTCTGAATGGCTCCAAGATATGGGAGCCTGCCTCCTGTGGTAGGGAGCCTACTCACCTGGAGGTGTACAAGCAGAGGCCTCATTCAAGCACTTCATCTTGAGAATTTCATTGTAAGCTCCTCCCTGTTCCTGGGCACACACACATACTCTGTCTGCCTCTGGCTTTTCTTACCCCTCTGGGATTCAGTCCTGCCAGGAAATCCCATCTCAGATCAATACTTGTTGGATAGTAAAAGGCATAGTTTATTATACTTATGTGTTCCAGGAATTTGTAGATACATAATAACTCCTGGTCTTCACAGAGACCCACAATGTAAAGGGATTAATATCACCCATTTTACAGATGAGAGAACTGAGGTTAAGCCATTTGCACAAAGTCAGAAAGCCAGTAAGTGATTGAGCCATGATCAGACCCAAGTTGGAGTGAACCCAAAGCATGAGCTTTTCCCCCTTCACCATATTGTACCTTGACTGTCAGTGAGATTGAAGATGGGGGGGGGGGGGAGGATAAAGCCAGTTTTATGAAGGTTTTGTATGTGTCAGGCTCTGTACTAAGTATCTTACTGTATTCTGTCATATATTCCTCACAATGACCCTATAAGGGAGACACTATCACTCCCCACTTATAGACCAGAAAACTGAAGCATGATTAAGTAATTCGTCTGCAATTAGGTCTGTACTAATTCAGTGCCAGGATGAGCCTGTTCCCCTGTCTGACCACTGAGGGGCACTGTTTTCAACCCCTGGCTCTGGGCTTTGTGCAGTGCACACCAATGCTACTCAAAGTTCAACTCCATTCAACCGCATCTGTGCAGCAAATATCCCAGAGTATCTGCTCTGTGCCAGATGCCAGCCTAGGATCTGGGCAGGGGAGGGAGGATGCCATGCAGATGGGACAACTGGAAACTGACCAATGGGAAAGGAGGCACCGAAGGAGGCCCCTCCTCCCTGCCAGCCAGGTTGACCAGGTATGGGAGCCATGTCCCATTGTCTCCGTGAACTGTCTCCACCAAGTCTGTCTGTCCCCATGAACACTGATCTCTGGCTTTTCTCTCTTGCAGCCCCTCGTTCTCACTACCTGGCTGATAGTGGTATGTTCTACCTGCCCTTCCTCCAGCCTACTGTGTCCTGTGAGGGCCAGAGCTGAGTCAGCTGCATTCCCCATAGCTCTGATGACCATACGACATGGATGTGCTAGTACAGTCCTGATCTCAAGTCATCTACCCATTTTGTTTGTCAGATTGTGGGTCTCCGTTTGGAGTTCTAGAACCAGAGTTGCCATGTCAAACAGCTCCCAGAGAGAAAGAAAGGTCACGTGTCTTTTCCACCCACCTGGGAGCCTGGCTGTCTGGTTCTGACCTTGACTCCAATCCCAGGACCTTCCTCCAGAGCCACCCGGTGGCCAGGACACAGAGGTCCATAATAGCAGGATAGATGTATGTAAGTAGAGGCCAGGAGAGTATACAAGTGGGTGCCTCAGGTGGGCCTAGAATTCCACCAGGATGAGGTACCTCTGAGACGGTCAAGTGGCAAATCTGGAGAGCATCACGGTGGCCAGGACACAGAGGTCCATAATAGCAGGATAGATGTATGTAAGTAGAGGCCAGGAGAGTATACAAGTGGGTGCCTCAGGTGGGGCTAGAATTCCACCAGGATGAGGTACCTCTGAGACGGTCAAGTGGCAAATCTGGAGAGCATCAGGAAGAGCTGGTGACCTCTGGCTCCCACCCCTTTCCACTGGGTCAGGAGTAATATTGGCCATTTGTAGCCAAGTGAACTCAGGGAGAGGGACCCTGGCTTGGGCTCCTGGCAATTGCTCTGGCTCCTTCTTTTCAGATCCCCTCATCTCCAAATCTGCCTCCCTGCCTGCCTACAGAAGAAACGGGCTGCACAGGGTAAGAGGGTTGTGCCGGGGGACATTGCCCCCAAGATGCTAACAAGTGCAGCATTAGCTCATTGTTATGATTACTTATGGGTGAAACCTGGGCAAAGGCCTTGGTGATCAAAGTGGGTTAACTGAGAGAACTCAATGGCCATGACTTGCCTCCCTCCCTTACGATCCCTATGTGTAAAGGAGCCTCCCCGGGAGGGGCTGGGGCACAACTAGTACTTATTGGGCAATTACTCTGTGCCAGGCACTGAGCTAAGCAGTTTCCAAGCACTAACGCACATAACCTTCACAACCCAGGGAGGTAGTTACTATTGTTAACCCTATTTTGTGGATGAAGGAATGGAGGCACAGAGAGGTGAGGTGACTTACCCAAGCTCTCACAGCCGGGAATGGTGCAGCCAGGATTCGAGCCCAGGCCAACTGACCCCACTGCCCACACCCGGCTGCCATGCTCCACTGGCCTCTAATATGGCTGTGGTCTTCTGAGCTCTTTGATGGCCTGTGACATAAAACCTTCGTGGAAGCAGTGAGTTGGTTTAAAGGCTGAAAGGGAATGTTCATTGTTATGATTACTTATGGGTGAAACCTGGGCAAAGGCCTTGGTGATCAAAGTGGGTTAACTGAGAGAACCCAATGGCCATGACTTGCCTCCCTCCCTTATGATCCCTATGTGTAAAGGAGCCTCCCTGGGAGGGGCTGGGGCACAACTAGTACTTATTGGGCAATTACTCTGTGCCAGGCACTGAGCTAAGCAGTTTTCAAGCACTAACGCACATAACCTTCACAACCCAGGGAGGTAGTTACTATTGTTAACCCTATT